TCGCTTTCTTGCCACTTTTACAGCAGCGTGGGATAAGGTCCTGTGTGTTAGGCTGTGAGGAGCAGAAACTCCTGTCACAATTCCTTCTTGCTCGCTGTCAGGAGTGGGCTGGAAATGTCATCATGCAGCATCCTGATCACCTGCAGAACAAATTCTCTGTCACTTGCTGCAATGGCTGGCTGTTAAGGTACGTTTTGGGGCATTTGCAATCAAGACAATAGTACCACAATTGTAAACATGAACACCAAACAGTTATGAATATGTAGGTATAACTTGTGCATTCATAACTGTTCAAAGAGCCAGTGTGGTATAGTGGTTTGAGTGCTGGACTACAACTTTGGAGACCAAGGTTCAATTCCCTGCTTAGCCATGAAACCCACTGGGTGACCTTTGGCAAGTCACATGCTCTCAGCCTCAGAGGAAGGAGATGGCAAACCTCCACTGAACAAATCTTGTCAAGAAAACCCTATGATAGGTTTGCCTTAGGGTCTCCATAAGCTGAGAATGACTTGAAGGCATACAACAACAACAACAACAACAACAACAGAATGCCACCCATTATTATGAACAAGGAGGAAAATAAACATCACCCACTCATCCACCTTCTCAACAGCCTTGTGGCAAAGTTAGATTCTAGTTTGCCACCCTCTGGAATATGAGCACCCTGCACTAAAAGAATCCAAAATGTCCTAGAATCATAGAACTTTAGGGGGAGGCCTTTGGAAACTTTGTAATCCAAGTCTCTGTTTGTTCAGGCTCCATAATGCAGCTTCAACGCATTGGACAGATGGCCAGACAGCTTCTCATTAAATACAGCAAAAGAAAGAGACCATTCTGTGAAGAGAGTCTATTTCACTGCTAAGCACCTTTCACTGTTAGAAACTTTCTCCTGATGTTTAGCCAAAATGTGCTTTTCTGCAATTTCTGCTCATTGGTTCGAATCCCACTGATTGGAGCGGGGCAAGTCTTCACTTCCAGGACCCCCTTTAAGCAACATCTGCCATCACTGTACAATCAAACTTTCACAGCAAATTGCACTGCCAAAATTCAACAGGAACCCAGTTGATGGGGGAAACCCTTTAAAACAAGTCAGGAGAAATGCCTGTTTTAAACATGGTGTGTGTTGTTGGGTTTTTTGGTCATAACTCATACTGTAGAGTCTGAGGAATTGGAGTTAGATAAAGGCTGCCTCTACACTGCAGAATTAATGCAGTTTGGCACCGCTTTAACTGCCATGGATCAATGCTATGGGATTCTGGGATTTTCAATTTTGTGAGATATTTAGCCCTCTCTGTCAGAGAGCTCTGGTGCCACAACAAACTACAAATCCCAAGATTCCCTAGCATTGAGCCATGGCGGTTAAAGCGGTGTTCAATAGTATCATTTCTGCAATGCAGGTGCAGTTTTAAGGGAGTTTGAGAGGGGGAGTGTTTGCACACTTTTGTGAGGGGGTTGGCTGTGGCTGTTCGGGTAATTTTTATCTGCAAATTGCATTATTGGGGGGGGGGGGTCCAAAGGCTATGAGGGACTGGTAGAGGACTTCAAGGGCTATAAAAGCAGAATACAGGGCTGTACATTCTCCATCTGTCTTTTAAAAAATAGTCAGCTATGCATCTTCTGTGTGCTCTTCTCTTCCTGACAATAAAGGAGCATGCTGGAGTAGAAGGCAATTTCAACAGAAATATTACATTTTACAAAACACCAACTGAGAGGAAGCAGAAAACACTTTATAATGGTCATAATTTATAATATTTGGAACAGCCAAACTTCCATATTGAATATATGTTTGCATTACTCTTATGTTTTGTTCCAGTCCTACAATCATTTATAAACATGGCTGCTGTTACTAATCTGAAATATTTGCATACCAAAAAAAAAACCCTACCTGCTTTAAATGCCTAAAGATTAAAGTCTCTGCAAACAACGGGGGGGGGGGGGAGGGAGAGATGATTTTTTAGGAATCTATTTGCATTATGCAAACATGAACCAGACTGTAGCAAAAGTGTGCCATTAAAAAAAGAAAGTTCCATGAGAAAAACCTCATGAAAATTTAATCTGTTTTTTTTAAAAATAAAAATAAAATGGAGACCAAGTTTTTAAATATAGGAAACAATAAATATTCATAGAACATGAAATTTTGATGACACAGTAACATAATAGCTTGAGAGGCAGCCTAGATAAAGGTATAAATATATTTTAAAAGGCAGAATAATTTGATTGTCACAAATAGAGTTCACTTTCATAAATTTGTTTGAGTTTTTCTCGCTAGCCCCTAACAAAGCTTGTGTGGGCAAGAAGACAACACCAAGAACGAACAGCTGCTGTGGTTGATTTGCAAACAATTAATGTTCAGCAGTGAAGTAAAATATGTGGAATATTAGCCAGCAAATTGGCTTACATATTAATTGCCTTTAGGAAAAGGTCGGTTTTGTTATGGGGTTTGGAGAGAATGAGCTCATAAAATGCTTCATTGGAAAACAGAATCATAGGATATTACCACACAAGTCCTGTTCTCTCTGCATTTGCGTTAGGTAATGAAAATGGAAACATACCATGTTTTGAGAGCAGCCATTATCACACATCTCTGCAATAGTGCAACTGGAGCTGTTTCTGCCACCATGCACTCTTCCACATTCTCCCTTAACCCTGCTTCCTTGCCCTATGCCTTATCCAGCATGCCTTTCAGAGTTTTTTATAATGAAATAACAACAATAATAACAAGAACAACAACACCTAGAAAGCCCTGGGATTTCCTAGTGATTTCCCATTCAAAAATATTAATCAGAACTGACACCACTTTGCTTCTGTAATTAGACAAGATGAGGTCCCTTCAAGGTGGTAGGAGATGGGGGAGATATTCCTACTAGCTGTAATTTTAATATAATTTGTAGTTTGATGCTCAAAGACACAATTAATTTATCAGCTATTATTTGTTATTATTTTTCACTACACAAATATCCTGCCTTTCCTCTAATGAACTCAAGGCAGCCTTGAGATGTCTGGTTCTCCTCCTTCCTACCTTATCCCCACAGTGACCTTGTAAGATAATTCAGACTGAAACAAAATGACTGGACCACGGCCAACCATCCATTTCATTCTTCAGTGGGAATTAGAGCTGATCCAGCACTCAAACCACTACACTACCATACTGGTTCTACCCTAGCATTTTGATACAGAGCCTCATGCAGAATCAAACAAGCAAAGACCTAGAACAATTACTGAAGAAGTTCAAGGAGAAAAGTGCCAACTTTGGATTCATCCTGGACATTAAAACAAAAATAAAAATAATGACCATGGAAGATCTACAACAATTTACCTCAGACAACGAGAAAATTGAAAGAATTCTGATATCTTGGTTCAAATATTGATCAGAATGGAGACTGCAGTCAAGAAATTAAAAGAAGGCTAGGAATGGGAAGGGCAGCTATGAAAGAAATGGACAGGATCATAAAGTGTAAAGACACAACTCTGAACACTAAAGTGAGGGTAATCCAAGCCTCTGTATTCCCCATCACAATATATGGATGTGAGAGCTGGACAGTGAAAAAGGCCAATAGAAAGAAAATGCTAGAGAAGATTGCTGAGGATACCATGGATGACCCAAAAAAAAAACAAATGGGTTCTAGAACAAATCAAACCTGAACTCTCCCCAGAAACCAAGATGACAAAATTGAGGCTGCCATACTTCGGTCACATCATGAAGAAAAATTAATCATTAGAAAAGACAATGATGCTAGGAAAGGTGGAAGGCAGTAGAAAAAGAGGAAGAACATATGCCAGATGGTTAGACTTGGTCAGAGAGGACATGGGCCTGGGCAGGGAGGTTGAGGACAGGGGATCTTGGAAATGTCTCATCTACAGGGTCACCATGAGTCAAAGTTGACTTGAGGGCAGTTAACAACAATAACTCTTGCAAGAGGCCTGAATCCTGTTGATTAGCACCAATTAGAGCAGACCCATTCAACCAAGTGTTGAATAGGGAGTTAATACATAGGTAAATCTCATTGAATCAATTGCTTACTCTAGTAGAAACTAACAATAGGATTCAAGCCATAGTGATACAAAAAATATATATATAAAGTGACCTGAATCCTCTTGTTAGTCCCAGTTAGAGTAGGCTCTTTGAATCAGCTGGATTTATTTATGTGTTCACTTACCATTCAACAGTTGATTCAATGACTCTCTGCTAGTTAGGAATAATGAACAAGATTCCAGTGAAAGACACACTAA